GCAGCACGTTGTAGTAGCACATGACGCCCGTCCAGCCGCGGGATGGTGTCGCGGAACACGAAGTAGGGCGCGGTGTTGAGCACCGCCAGGGCCCAGAGCGCCAGGCACACCTTGTGGGCGGCCGCCACCGTGCGATGGTTCTGGGCCCACACGGGCCGCACGACCTGCAGGCAGCGGTCCAGGCTGATGGCGCTGAGCAGGAAGCCGCTGGCGAACATGTTGAGGAAGAAGATGGAGGAGTGCAGCTTACAGAAGGTGGTGCCCAGCTCCCACGAGTGGCCCACGGCCAGGAAGTAGGTGAAGAAGGGCAGGGAGGCGCTGGCCAGCAGGTCCGACAACGCCAGGTGCAGCACCCACGTGGTGACCACCGTCTGGCGCATGCGGCAGCCCACCACGAAGAGGATGAGTCCGTTCTCCACCAGGCCCAGCAGCGAGGCCAGCCCGTGTAGCAGCACCGACACATGGTCCATATAGCGGATGCTGGAGTTGCTGTGGCTTTGGAGGCGGCTCATCTGCTCCAGGACCGGACAGAGCGGCTTCATGGTGACGTTGGCCAACATGGTGGGCTCTGCAGCGGAGAGAAGGCGGTGCTGAGGTGGGCGGTGCAGGAGCAGCAGGGGCCCCTGGCCGGGAGATGGGACCCTGACCCATGAGTGTCACGGATGATGCCCCTGGGGACCAGTGAAGTTGAGCAAGGGCAGTAAGATGGGGGGATAACATCCCAGCCCCTCCACCGCTCACTGTGCGACCCTGGGCGAGCCATTTCACCCTCCTCAGCCTGTTTCCTCCTCTGTAACATGAGTGTCGCTCACAGCAGGATCCAGGTCATAGGGTTGTTGGGAGAATTAAAGGAGTTAACATACATAAGCATTTCAAACAGAGCCTGGCACGCAGTAAGCGCTACATCAGTGGCGTGGTTATTTTCAGTCGGATGGTCTAAGATCATTTGGAGAAATAGGAACCAAGGTCAGGCCATGCTGGGCTCCTTTCCCCAATCCCCAGAGCACTGGGATGTGAACAAGTCTCCACCTAATGGGCAAGAGGGTTCAGCTGGGCTGGGGATGGGAATGGAAGGAGGAGTCTGTGCCTTTAAGAAATGCGGCCCACACCCACCTACCCACAGCACCCCTAGACCTTGCCTCTCTGCAGATCCTCTGTGTGGCCCTTCGCTTCCACTGTGGTGGTTGGTTGGGTGTGTTGACTGCAAACAGTGCAGCCAGCGCCTCCTTTGATAGTTGAAGAGGAAATAAGATAAGAGCAGGGAGAGAGCTGGGCAGGAGGAACTGCCAGATTTGGGCTCTGGAGGCCTGGTAGGGCCAAAAGTCCTCTCCCCTGCCCGGGGCAGCCACAGCCACTCTGCCAGCCCCAGGAAACCCAGCCCTGTTCATTCATTCATTCGATCACACACCCATTCAACAGCTGTTTATCGATCAGCTACTCAGGTCAGCACTGGAGAAGCCAGCCTCTGGCTGATGTGCAAACACCCCAAGTGTGCACACCCATAGCCTCATCAAGAACCCGAGACCATCTGATATGAAGCCGGTGGAGATCGGTGAGAGCAGAGATCAGGGCGGGAGGCCATCTGCAGGAGGTGGGGACCGACAGGCAGCAGGGGTTGACTCAAGATTGCGCGGGGCCACCCGCGGCTTGCCACGGACTGTGGCAGGTCCTTTCCATAGGTGCTTTCTTGCTCACGGATATCATGGAAGGTGCTAGAAGTTCTCTCCATCCCATATTGCAGATGAAACTGGGACTCAAGTGTTTGAATAACTTGCCCAGAGCCACCCAGACAACACAGGCATGTGGAGGAGCAGCAGTTCAGTACTCAGCCTGTTCTCCTTCCTCTGCCTCTGCTTCAAGCGTGAGATGATGGAGGGAGAGCAGGGAAGTGGGGGAAGGAGGGGGAAGTGGTCTTCAGTCTTCGTCTTTCCAGAAGAGACACTGTTGGCCAGGATGAGAAAATCCACAGCCTCCCGCAGGGACCACGGTCCTTTGGAATGTGAGGGTCCCAGATATCAAACTAGACTCTCCTTGGCAGGTGAGCCACTTGGAGCTGGGGACATGCAGGTGGATGGGAGGGGAGCTGTTGGGTCTGCCCTCCCTGAGAAGGCTCATATTTCTAGAGTCTGCAGGGCAATTACACTCATAGTGGCCCTGTGAGACCCTCTTTTTCAGAAGAGGAAACAGAGGGTCAGAGAAGCACAGCGACTTGCCCTGTGTTCCTCAGCTGCAGTGTGGGAGCGGGAACTCCACCCACAGCACACAGACACATGCTGTCTCCTCTCTGTGCTCAAACATTCCCTTCAGCCCAGTCTAAGTCCCGTGAGGATGCACAGTCCTGCTGAACCCTGGCAACCCATCCAGCCTGGGCCTCTGGCTGACGGATCCCGGACCCCAGCCTCCCATGATTCTAGGGAGCCCAGCGGCCAGGGTCTTGTTTGAATAGGGAGCTGGGGCCAAAGAACACAAGCCTTTGGAGTAAGAGACCTGGGTTTGAATCCCGGCTCCTCGACTTCCAGGCTGGGTGAACCTGGGTCCGTTACCTTAAGACTGCTGGTGTAACCCTCCCACCCGGGCTGCAAGGGAGTCCGGAGAGAGAAGCGCTCATGGTTCACCACCGTGCCTGACATCTAGTTAGGACCTAAGAAAGCGCAGTCCTTCCCTCCTCTGAGCTGCAAGTCCTTTGGTCAGTCCAACCCCCTGCCATCCCCTGGTAACAGCCCTCTCCCCAGGACAACTGTGCCTTCTCTCCTGGGTTCAGAGAGGGCCCTGGGGCTGCCCAGCCCCCAGGCCACCGTCTCCTTACCTGGGCACAAAGGGAGCACAGGATTCCAGCCCTGGAGGCTGTCAGCTTCTGGCGACAGCCGAACGAGAGGCGCCGGGCAGGCAAAGGCAGGGGAGTGAGGCCGAGGGAGGAAATAGCTGTCAGCCCAGAGTGTGTGTGTGTGTGTTTCAGGGTGGGGTGGGGGGAGGCGGGGACAGCTGGAGAATGAGTTGTCACACTGGTGTTTAGCATCAGTGCCATCGATGGGGACTGGGCGTAACTACTGGCAGCCCTGCCTACGCCCTCTCCCTTGGTGAGGGAGACTTCGCAGAAACGTGATGTCAAGTACATAGTACACGTGGGGAAATAGGTGTGGGCCAGAAAGTGTGCGTGTGCGTGGGGGCGAGGGGGTGCTTTGAGAGTGACAGGTATGCACAGAAATGCATAAGGAAGAGGGCATCCTGTCCAGCTGTCCTCTGGCCGGGGCTGCCCTCCCCTGACCCCGTTATCCTCAGGGAAGAAACCCCTGCATCTCCTCCAAGATGCCCAGGCCACGCGGGGTCCGCGTGTGAGGGTGGCAGGAGGGCAGGATGGGATGGGGCGGTGCTGAGAGCACCGGCCTGGCTGCCCATGCTGCCCGCAGCCCTAGCCGGGAGGTAAGCTGCTTCCCCTTGCTAGCCCCAGCCTGGTGGTCTGTGACCAGAGCTACGGTGTTGCCTCCAGGGCTGAGTGAGGTGCCCTCGGTCACAAAGCACACAGTAGGTGCTCATGAAAATCAGGTGGATATTTTCCTCCCCTCTAGGGGAGAGATGGGTGTGAGGGGTGAAGGCAATGCAGCTTTTGTTTATTTATTTTGGGAGTGGGTGATTAGGTTGGTTGGTTTTGTAACGCAGGTGCTGGGGATTGAACCCAGGACCTTGCGCGTGCTAAGCGGGTGCTCCAGCTCTGAGCTACACCCTCCTCCCCAGCTTTTATTTAAAACCAGCTGAGCTCAAAGCCCATGAACGAGATGACTGAACTGTAAACCTGCATTTCACTGTTCCCTACGTCTTCACTTCCCTGTGCTGACCAACCTTTCCTTCAGCCTCAGCATCCCGGCACCCAGGAGATGCTCAAAACACGTTAAGAACTCAGGACCCCCAAATCAGGACAAGGGCACCCCCTTCCTTCCGCATGGAATTCACTCTGCGAGAACTTTCCATTTTAGTACAGGCTGAATAAAGGGCTTGGCGCTTGATAAACCTGTTGAGAGATTGCAATCCTGAGTTGACAAATCTCTTGAGGCTCTTATTTCTCACTGTCATCCAGGCTGGCAGATCAGTAAGTGCCTTGATTAAACAAATCATTAGCACTAAGGAAATGTCCTCTTTCCTCGTAGTGACACAGAGGCTCCATCTTCTACAGGCGGGTGCCTGCGGCCCTCCCCAGGTGGGCATTTCCATTCCACTTTGCGGAAAGTACCTTCATCCCCACCCGCCCCCCCCAACACACACATGACCTGCTGAGCCATGGATGTCCTCTAAGGCCACGCAGGCAGTGGAGTGTGGCGGGTGACCTTGGGCAAGTCACAGCAGTAAAATAGGAATTTTTTAAAGGAGTTCCTTCCACACATCCCCTGCCCCCAAGTTGTGTACAAGTTTGTACACTGCTCTTTGGGCTTAGAAAGCATCCCCTCTTCCCTCCTCTAGACTCAGCTCTAGGGCGTCAGGTGGGGGCCCAGCCCTTCCTCACCCCCTCTACCGGATGTCCTTGCACAGTGAACATTCTGTGCAACCATTCATGGCAGCCCTGCTAAGGTGATTCTCAGCTGAGACCCTCGCTCCTCTGGCCTTCCCCCATCTCTCCCATTCAACCCTTTGCAAGGCTGAACTCCTCACTCCTCTGACCCTACCTCCAACTCTTGTTTTCAGTCTTATAATCACTGTGGTGACTTGTCTCCCAACCCTCCCAGAGGATGGTTTATGAAAAGTCACTAAAAAAAAGTACTCCAGCTGAGCAGGGTCTTGAGGCATTTTGTAAACAAGGAGCGGGGATGTTTGTTTTGATGGCTCATCAGCTGCATTCCCACGGTGGAAACCAGCCTCCCGCACACACCAGACCCCAAGTCCCACCTCTCCACGAGGAGGGTGCCAGAGGTGGGAGGGAGCCGGGACTCGGGGCAGGATGTGCCTCCTCCCTGGGTTTCAGGAACCAAGAGCACCGGATTTCAGCACTGGGCACTTGAGAGAAAGAGTCTCATGAGCAATGGGGCCCCGGGCCCCCTAGCCTCCCTGGCAGAAAACAGAGAACAGGCACCTGCTGTGACCAGGAGACATGAGGCAGGCTGGATCCAAGGAAGAGAAAATCCAATCTGAAAGTCTTGTGCAGCAGGACCCCCAGACTATCAGACAGGCCCTCTTGGAGCTCAGAGTCTAGAGGAGGGTGTCCAGGGCCTTGGCAAGGGCCTAAAATGGTGTATAGACTGGCCAGTCTCACTTTGAATGTGTGTCAGAACCTCCTGGAGGGCTTGTCCCCACCCCCAGAGGGTCTGATTCAGCAGGTCTGGGGGGCAGCCTGGGCACCTGCATTGCTATCAAGTTCCCGGGGAGGGGGGCAGGGGTGATGCTGCAGCCGCTGGTTCTGCTGGGATGGAGAACTCGGTCCTTGGGTCTGATGTGCTCAGAGCAGGGAGCAGAGCTGGGTCCCAGCAGAGAGCAGGGGCTTTTAACCAAGGGGACTCTGTTGCTGTTGTCTGCGATGATTCTGATGCAAGAACCTCGGTGGGGCCGGGCCTTGCCACACAGAATTTGGGAGAGCAGAAGGCAGGGGGATATGCTTTGTTCCAGCTGCCAGGACTACCTTGGAGGGGTTATAGATTAAGGGGAGAGAAAGGGGCCCACAGGAGCTGGCATCTCAACTGAAGGGTGGGGAGGGATGGATGCCAAAAGAGCCATCTCAGCCTCAATTCTCTGAGCATCAGGAGGGAGAGGGAGGGGCGAGTCTTCAACCTCAGCCCTGACCAGTGACCCGCCAGGACCGGGAGAAAGATGCAGCCATCCCCAGGGCACACACCTTAGTCCCTGAAACACAGCCATCTCCACGGCTTAGGACTTGATGTCAGAGCCAGGAAGAGCCAAAATCAGGTCCATCTCTGCATCAACCCACCTACTGCCCCAGAGGAGAAAAATCTGAACCTAACAGAGCTCTGCTGGGACTCTGCTGCCTGTGGAAAGTGTCCAGACTCCCAGAGTAGCCTTCAAGTCACCTTGGGGTCCAGTGCCCCAGCCCCTGCCCCACTTCCCTGTGGCCCCAGCTGCCCATCCCTCCTATCCACCTCCGTGCCTTTGCATGTGCTGTTGCTGCTGCCTGGAATGCCTTTCCCCTCCCCTCTCCTTCCTGCAGGACCCCTTTCCAGGATCATCGGTGTCTCTAGCCCCCCACAAGGATGCTCACAACATCAAGGGTATTCAACCAACAGTTAAGGGAACGGGTCCGCTATCCCCAAGCTGTGGGCCCAGTCCAAATGGGCTTTCTCCTCCTGGCCCTGCCTTAGGAAGTGGGTTTTCATGTTCCTGTCTGGCCTCTTTAAAGACTCTATCAAACAGGAAGTGAGAGACATGACAGGAAGCAGGTGAGACCTGCCCTGGAACCCTCTGGCCCCCATATGCAGGGGGCCCTGGAGTTGCCCAGACACAGCAGAGGAGCAGCATGACAGGACCCCACATGACACCTTGTGGGAGGCCCAGGGTGAGCTCCCTAGTGCCACCATCATCCACAGGAGAAGACCTAACGCCTGACATGGACAATAAGCCTCTCAGTGACCTGGCCCTGCCTACGCCTTCACCTTCATTTCTGCTTCTCCCTAATCACATCCTACCATCAGTCAGCACTTATTGCCACCTCCCCACACCCTGAACATACCAAACTGTTTCTGTGCCCTCGCTTGTGCTGTTTGCCCCCTGCTCTAGGATACCATTTCTTCTCTTGGCCTCTTAAACTCCTACTCATCCTTCAAAACCCTGGCCAGAGGTTCCCTCCTCCAGGAAGCCTTTGCTGATCCTCTCAGACAGACCCTACCTCCCATATTTCTGCCTCACTTTCTAGACTGCACCTTTGTCCTCCATGGTTAGTTTCACACAACCACTTCTCACACTCATCACAAGCAACTGGAGGGCAGAGACAGTTCCTTCTTTATCTCCTCATCACCCACGGTGGACCCATTGTTACTCATGGCCTGATGCAATTCTACCTGACTGCTTTCACCTGGGGTGGCTCCCACCTCGGGGACTAGTAAGTTCCTGTTATTATTCACTAGTAACTTTCTCAGGTTCGCGTGTATGCCAGTTAATCCTTGCCCCCCCAAAAAGCCATAGCATATTCACAAACGAAGTACTGCAAACCCGATGGCTTAAAACAACAGAAAGCCATTCTCTCCCAGTTCTGGAGGCCAGAAGTCTGAAGCCTAAGTCTTGGCAGGGCCGTACTCCCTCTGAAGACTCTAGGGGAAGGTCCTTGCTTCCTCTGCCCGCTTGGGTGGCTTCTGCATCTCTCCAGGCTCTGCCTCCACCCCCGGGGCTCTTGCCTCCTTCCCGGGTGTCTCTCATAAGGACACTTGTCTTTGAATTTACGCCCGATCCAGACAATCCAGGACTATCTCATTTTGAGATCCTTAACTCAATCACATCTGCAAAGCCTCCTTTTCCAAACAAGGTTCCTTCCTCGCAGTTTCTGGGGGTTAGGATGGGGACAGCTCTTTTCAGGGGCCACCATCCAACCTACTTGAAATAGTAACAGCTATTTTTATGGGGGGCTTACAATTGCCAGGCACCAGGCTGAGCACTTTATGTGTATTAGCTAGTCTAACTCTCACAAACATCCTCTGAGGTACAGACGGTTATCATCTTCACTCCCAGAGGAGAAAACAGAGAGGTTAAGTGGGCCAGCCAAGGCTGCCCAGCCGTGAGCAGAGAGCTCAGCCCAGCGCTTCCCAGCGCTTCCCAGGTGAAAGCAGTCAGGGAGAATTGCATCAGGCCATGAGTAAGAAACAGGTGCTCCAGCACCACAGCCCAGCGCTTCCCAGCTGACTGGATTCTCTGAGGTTCCCTGTTCTTAGCAGAAGCAGAGCTGCCTTTCTGCTCTTAAACGTGCTCCACAAGCTTCAGGAAGTATCTCTGTGGCCAACAGCGTCCACAGGGACCATGGCTGGGGCTTCCCTCGGGTTTCTCTGCGGGCCTCTGGGTCAGGTGACCTGCTTACTGCTGATTCCTGTACGTGCTTTGGCCCCTGTGATTACGTGTGGGGTTTTTTCCCTCCACCAGCTGGGAGTGTCCTGCAGTTCAACTCCATTCCAACGTGAGCTATTTGGAGACATAGCATCAGACCCCGCAGGTTAAGGGCCCAGTCCTAGGAGACTGCCCCTCCCTCCAATTCAGACGCCAATCCCAAGTCCCCGTGTCACCTGTGCTTCCAACCAAAGGGCTCTAGTCTGAGGTTCCAACGACCCCCTCCTTAATTTGTTAGACAGGCTCACAGAACTCAGAGAAACAGTTTACTTCAGGGACAGCCAGCTGGAAGAGGTGCACAGGGTAGGGTAGGTGGGAAGGGGACAGAGTTTCCATCCCCTCTGAATGCACGCCTCTCCCCAGATGTCCACGTGTTCACAACCTGGGTGCTCTGAACTCCATCCTTGTAGGGTCTTCTGGAGGCTTCATTACACAGATGCGACTGATTGGATCATTGACCACTGGTGATTGAACCCCATCTCCAGCCCCTCTCCCCTCCCAGAAGGTGAGGAGGAGGGATGTGTGACCAAAAGTTCCAACTCTCTCATCACGTGGTCAGCTCCCTTGGCAACCAGCCTCCATCCCTAGCTGCCTTCCAGAAGTTACCTCATCAACATGACAAAAAAAATTCCCAGGAAATTCCTGGGGTTTTAGGAGCTCAGCCAGGACTGGGAGGAAGAACAAATATTTATTCCTCGTCTTCAATCACAATATCCCAGCACCTCCTCCCCATTGCCAGCCTTGCTTTTCCAGCCTAGAAAGACCCCTTCCTACACTGCTGCCCCCCCACCACCACCACCCCAGGCTTTTATTAGCAGAAGAGATGGGGCAGAGAACTAACATGGAACTCACAGCACCCCAGTTAGGGTGACCTGATTCTTAATCCCATTTTACAGATTCAGAAACTGGAGTCCAGTTTTTCAAAATAGAAAGAACTAAGTTTAAAAAGGCAAGGAAAAAATAAACTGAGGTTTAGAAGGAGGCCAAGAGGAAGCCAAGATTCCAAGTCAAGTCATGCTGATCTGATCCTCTCTCCTCATCAGTAAAATATCATGGTTTTTTAAAATTATTATTATTATTCATCACTATCATGTTCAAAGGATTACCACATGCAGATTGTTCTCAGTTCTTTACGTGGCTTATTTATTTAATCCTCACAGCAACCCTACAAGTTAAGTACTGTTATTAGCCCCATTACACAGATGAGGAAGTGGAGTCACCAAGTGGATAGGTGGCTTTTCCAAGGTCCCTAGTGGGTGAGCATTGGAGCTCAGATCCTTCCCAGGCTGATGAGCTCTCGTACCCATGAGTCTTTGCACGAATGTAGAGCCATAACCAAGGACTCAGGGCTCCTCTCTCCAGGACAGCTTGGCACGACTTTTCTCAAAGGCATCCTGCTGCCCATGACCATGAAGATGCTCCCCTGCTCTCTTCCTGCATTTCCAAAGTCTTGGGAGAGATGCCCTCATGAGTAAGGCCTGTGATGAGTTAGAAAACACCTCTCTGTGTATTGTCTGATTCCATCCCTATTTTACAGATGATCCCACCACTCCTGAGAGGTGAAGGCAGGATGGGACCCAGGTCTCTCTGCTCCTCTCTCTGGTGCTCTCTCTGCCACCTAACCCCCCTGCCTCCATCAGGGAAAGCCTTCTGTTATAATAGAAGGCAAAGAAATGGGGAAGGAATGATGGATTGGAGAATCATCGCACCAGTGGGTGAGTGCTGGCTGAGGGGCAGGATAATTACATTGTCTCAAAGTATCTGTCCATAAGATACTTCCTAGATACAAAGAGAAACATAGTAACTTTAGAGAAACCTGGCCGACCCCACTTCCCCAATAATCAAAGTTGCAACAGCAATAATAGGACAGATCGGTCCGATTAGCCTCCTGATCGAAAGCACTGAGAAGGATGCAGCATCATTCTGGGGTTCTCCTGCCTGTTATGGGCTGAATCGTGCCTCCATTCACATGTTGAAGCCCTGACCCCCAGTCCCTCAGAATGTGACCATATTTGGAGACAGGGTCTTCAGAAGTGATGGAGTTAAAGTGGAGCTATTAGGGTGGGTCCTAATCCAATCAGACTGGTGTCCCTGGAAGAGGGAATTTGGACCCATAAAGAGTCACCAGGGATGGACGTGCACATGTGAGGACATAGCAAGAAGGCGGCCATCTGCATTTCAGGGAGAAGAAGCCAGACTTCTGACACCTTGATCTTGAACTTCCAACCTCCAGAACTGTGAGAAAATACATTTCTATTGTTTAAGCCACCCAGTCCATGGTATTTTGTTATGACAGCCCTGGCAAACCCATACACTGTCAAAAAGGCTCTCCCTGCATCTGAGCAGGAGGGGACACCAGGCCAACTGGAATGAGGGCCATTCTGCAAAGTAACTGGCCAGTTCTCTTCAAAAATGTCCCAGGTATGAAAGACGAAGAAAGACAGAGGGACTGTCCCAGAATGGAGGAGGCCAAAGAAACATGATCTTGACCTTGGACTGGCTCCTGGTCTAGGAAGAAAACTTTCTCCTTTGCCGTGAAAGTCACCATGAGGACAATTGGTGACTTGAATGCAAGGTTTGTAGATGAGACAGTTGTGTCACATCAGTGTGGATTTCTTGATTTTGATCTGATTTTATTGCAGTTACTTGTTTTTTAGGAAATACACACAGGAGTGTTTAGGGGTTAAAGGGTAGACAGGCACATCTGTGACCAGCTCTCTCATAACATGCAGGGAAGTGCGTGCATGCGTGTATGTATGCATGTGTGTGTGCGCGTGTGCACGCGCGTATCTGTGTGTGCATATGAGTGTATGTACACGTGTGTCTGCACCGCACGTGTACATGTGTGCACATGTGTGTACATGTGTGTGCACATGCACGTGTGCATGTGTGCGTGTGTCTGTGTGTGCACGTGAGTGTGTACACACGTGTGTCTGTGTGTACATGTGCGTGCATGTATGCATTTGTGTGTCTGTGTGTGCACGTGCGTGCATGTATGTACAAACAGAGAGAAACAGAGTGCTAAAACAAGTGTGGAAAGAAGTTAACAGTTGACATTTGAAAAATCTGGGGGAGGGAGATATGGGCCTTCTTTTCAGGAAGTTCTGAAATCATTTCCTAATAAGAAATGTAAAACTTCCCATCGTCCCTCAGGAGAAATTCACCTCCCCAGCCCTTTCCCCCACCCCTTCCCGTTACATCGCCTCCACCACCCCGCCCAGCTCTTCCCTCTCCAGCAATCCAGCCAGCGTAGGGCCACTGTTACCCCACCTCTCTGTGCCCCGCCCTCCTTCCCCAAATTCCCTCTGCCTCAACACAATACCCCCACCGTGCTCCCGTGCTCACAGGCTCCTTTGCTTCTGCTCAGGCACCCATCCCTCCAGAAACACTCCCCCACTTCTGGGTTCAGAGCCTCCACCTATCCTGCTCCCAGGGCCCTTAACCCACCAAACTTCCCCATCTAAGGGCTAGTTGCAAAGTTAATCACCGCCAGTGATTTAATGGTAAATTATTACCACCAATAACTTAGCAGCTCCTTAAGTCCATTTCCTTAGCTTTCATTGAAGAGACGTTTTCTGTTCCAGGATCCCAGTCAGGAGGCCACGCTACGTAGTTGTCCACTCGTGTTGGTGGTTGCTGGTAGCGGCCATGGGCGCATTCATTGCCTTAATTCCCAGGAGAACCCTAGGAGGTGCCGCCAGTCTGTTTATTCACCTGCCGGCCCCATCACCTGCAAGCTCTTTGGGCAGGGGCAGTGTTATCGTGGTCTTGTTCTGCCGGCCCCGGAAGCCCTGCCTGAGGATCGGAGAGCAAACCAACCCGGCCTGCTGCCCACCCCACCCCCCCTCAGCTCAGCAGGGACAGGAGGCCCTGCAGAGCCCAACGGGGCAGGGAGGGTCCCTGTTACTATGGCAACACAGGTGCAACTTTCCACACGGAGCAAGGTCCCAGCCCTGAATGCTGAAACCCCACCTCCAACCCCTTCCTCCCCACTGAAGAAACTGCTCCACACCCCGTTCCTGAGAGAACCTGGCCCCTAGGATGGAACACAGAGGAGACCTTTAGATGGGGCGGTTACCCATCCCAGGTTGCCTGATAAGAGTTGTCCTTGGAAACTATTAATCTACATTCACATGTACTCCCTCTTTTTAGATCAAGAACATCCCAGTGTGGATGATAAATTAAACAGTGACTCAACTTTTACAGTGTAATTCACCCATCTGTTCTGTGCGTGAGAAAGTCTGGTCTGTGAAGGCTTTGCTGGAGTTGACGCTGCTTGAGCGGCCAGTGAGAGAAGCCATTCCCCTCACATGCTGACCGTCACCCAGCCCCTCCCCACTCCGTGTCTATGACGGACACTGAACCCCAAGGCCCTGATCTGCCTCTTTGATCTCCCTTCATTCCAGCAACTGTCCAGTGCTTCAGAAACAGTCACTTCACTCTGGCAGTGTCCCAAGAAATGGCCCTGGCAGGGGGGAATACATTGGCCAACGTCCACTGGCCTTCATACCCTCCCGGCAGCTCCTCACCCAGGAGACGGGGTCCTCTGTGGTTTCCATGTCCTTCTCACCTGCTGGGACACCACAGTCCTGGTAGAGTAGGGGCTATGGGCTGGTGCCCAGGACTACCTGCCGGGAGGTGTCCCAGGAAGAAAAGGCAAGGTGGGCAGAGGATGGGGCCACAGTGCACATCACTCAGGCAATGGCAGGTGGCATCCATCCACCCTGCTGGACCATGCCCCATTTGTTGCATCCACATAGCTGGTACCTGGTTTATTAAGTAATCAGGATGCCCTGATTCTGTGTCTTCTCCTCCCATCCTCTCTAACTTGGACTTGAGGCTTCATGTCCACTGTATCTTCAATGCCACTGACTTCCTGCTCCTCCAGGCACCCATCTTCCCTCCCCCATTCAGCCTCTGTGACACAGTCCAGCACCCTGCAGCTTCGGCTGCAGATGGACAAGAGACAAGGGTCTGGTGTCCCTGTGCTTTCGCTTCCTGCTCCCACTTCCCAGACACACAGCCCACTGAGGTTCGAGCCCTTCTCCCTGCAGATGAGGCTCTCAGCACCTGATCCAGGGAGGGGGACAACCCTAGCATGAAGCTGCTCCAAGAGTCTGATGCCACAGAGGTCTGACTCCTGCAGAGGACAGACCCAAGTCTGGTCCTGGCGCTGCACCGGTGTGGGGCACTCCCAGCACCAACCCCTTCCAGCAGCCTCAGGGGCACATCCTGGCAGGTGAGCGGTGGTGGTGCTGGAGCCGCTCCGGGGGCTCCCTATGCCTGCCTCCCCTCTTGGACCTCTCTCTTTCCCAGGTGTCCTGTTGATGACAGTTCAGGGCCAAAATAGTGGCCTTGAGAGGGCAGTGCCATCGCCACCTTTGCCGTCCTGGACTCTGGCTCCCAGAGGGCCCTCAGGTGACCAGCCAGAAGCACATGTTCCCCGTCCTGCTCCCCATCTGTGAAGTGGGGATAAGCTGGTCACCGAATCCCTCCAGCCTCCTGTGAGCTAATATGGACAAAGGTCTGCAGACGGGGCTTGATCACACTGAGTGTGGTGGAGGGCAGTGAGCCCAGGTCCTGGCCTCAGGTCAGCCCACAGGCGACCTGTAAAGAACTTCCGATGGAGGAAGGAAAATGCCAGGATGGTGAATGCAATCCACCCTGACTCTGAGCCAGGCACGGTGTTCTCGAGTGACTTCGCTTCTGACTCTAGACACAATGCGTTTAACGTAATTCTGCTTTGAATTTTTATAACTTGACAGGTAACTTGAAGGTAAATATGGATAAACTTAGTGTATATTTAAGTTTTTCTACATAATCTACAAATGGCACCATAAGTTACATACTACTGTTTAACTTGTATTCCACTGAATATACATCTTTCATATTAATATATACAAAGCTTTATATATTTAAAAAAATTTTTTCCATTGCAACCCTTTTGTTTTTAATTGAAGTATAGTTAATTTACAATGTTGTGCTAGTTTCTGGTGTGCAACATAGTGTGATTCAGTTATATACATTTATACTCTTTTTCATATTCTTTTTCACTATAAGTTATTACAAGCTATTGAATATCATTCCCTGTGCTACACAGGAGAACCTTGCTGTTTATCTATTTTATACATAGTAGTTAGTATCTGCTAATCCCAAACTCCCAATTTATCCCTTCCCCCACTTACCCTAGGAAACCATAAGTTTGTTTTCTATGTCTGTGAGCCTGTTTCTGTTTTGTAACTAAGGCTCATTTGTGTCTTTTTTTAGATTCCACATATAGGTGATATCATATGGCATTTCTCTTTGTCTGGCTTTTTAGTATGAGAATCTCTAGGTCCATCTGGACCTCTATATATTTCAGTAGTGCCATAGCATTACATCAGTGTAGACCGATGTCACTGGTTAATGGTTAGCACCTGGGAGGTGGCTTAATTCTCAGCTCAGTTGTATGCCTCTTCCTGAGCCAACAGACCCTAACCTGCTGGATGAGGGGGCATCCTCTGGCTGGACCTACTGGATGCTGGCTCAGGTCCATTCCTCCTGCTTCTACTCCTTTTGGGAGCTGCCCACGGCCTTGTTTCTGGAAGGTGACTCCCTTGGTGGTAACTCCAGTGGTAACTCCCTCCCTGCCCCAGTCACTGGTCATCGAGGGCCAGGATGAGAGGGAGCCAGACATCTGCTCTCCTGCCTGCTCAACACCAGGTCCTGGGAATTCCCTCTCCCCACTCGTCGGGCAGGCAGTGAAGGCAGCAAGCTGGCCTCCCCGAGGGACTCTGCAGTCAGAGGTGGGGTTGGTGGAGCCGGCCGGGGCTGGGGCTTTATCAAGTGCAGTGGTTCCTGCCCGCAGGGTCCTCTATTGTAGACGTGGGCATCTGGAAGGAGGAAGGCATGGATTCCAAATTGAGAAGAGACACCTGGCTCTGTACCTCCTTGGACTGGGGCTGGTCAGCGTGCCCAGAGCCCTCCCTGCCCGCCTGGCTGGCAGCAGCGTGGACCTGGCCCGGGGCCTGGCCTCCATGTCCCTGCTGAGAGCTTCCTGCCCATGGCTCCGAGCCAGCCCCGCGCCATCCCACCAGGTTTACTTCCTTGGCAGCACCTCTGCCTGCTCCCCTGTGGGGCTGGAGACCCGCTTGACTCCACGTAGCTCTGGGGCTGCTCTGGGGGACCGGTAAGGGGTGTTCTTTGTCCTTTCACGTCTACAGGCCTGTTCCTGGCTTCCGGGCCACATGGGGAGCAGGATGGCAATGATCCTCAAATCATCACGACACTGCCAGGCCCCAGATTTCTCCATAGCCAGTGGGCTTTGAGGACTCCTACAGGCAGGAGCCTATGCCGGGGCCGGCAGGTGCCAGGCTTGTGGGCAGGCCCCTCCAGCCCGGGACCCCCATCCTCCAGGGTGTGCTGACAAAACAGGGAAGCTCTGGTTGCAGTGAGGGCGAGAGATTGTGTAACCGCATTCATTGGGGAAATAAGCAGAGCTAGACACGGTCCAACTTATCTGCAGAAGGGCAGCCCCAGCTCTGCTCGGTGTGATTACCAAGGGCTGGGCTGGAGGAGAGAGTTAAAGGGGCCCTCATCCAGCCCTGAAATCCCTCAAACCTCTTCTCTCTGGCAGGCTCCACCAGGAACGCCAACCCAAGGCCTCTCCTCTGGGTATTTCTTTTGCTGTTGGCTGTTGCCCTGGTCCCAGAGGTCAGCATCTTGTGGCCCTGGGCCAGACCAAGTGCAGACGCTCCAGGAAGGCAACAAAGCATGAACAGACTCAACAGACCCTTGTTTCAAGCCTGCAGAAAGCAGGTGTGCGAAAGCTCCTTGTGATGACTGGAACAGAATCATTCTGGCCTTAGAAACTTGCTCTAACTTAGAATCAGCCCTGCCTTTCAGAATTGTGGCCTCTATCACAAATGGTGGCTAGAGTGCAATGCCTCCCAGGACTGAATTTGGGCAACTTTGCCTCTCCGCAAGGAAAGGCAACACTCCAGGCAGAGAAAACAGGACAAGCGAAGGCAGAGGGAGCGCAAATCAGGGCAGAGTTAAAGGGCAGCAGTAGCTGGGAGTCGGGAGCCTGGCTGACAGCCAGTGAAGGCTGGGGTCCCGCAGACACAGGAGTCCTGACTGAGCATCCTCAAAGCATGCTGCTTGGCCGCCACCACGATGAGGGAGCCTAGAGTCCCCGGGACCAAAAGAACTAAACCCGACTTGAAGGCGCTCCTCTCAGGCCTCCTCTGAGCCTCTCAGCCTCCCACAAAGGATGCTGACTGCTTCTCCCATCACCAGCACTCCTTTCCCCCTCCCTTGGCCCCAGGACTGGTCCACACAGAGATGGTTGGCACAGGCTGAATGCAGCCTATTTGTCCTGATGCTGCCTGATGCCACAGCGGGCACGGCTGCCAGGCAGGTCAGTACCAGCGCTTGGTATTGTGTGGCTGACCGTCTGCCTGTGTATGACATGGGCCTTTGTCTCTGATTTGTCAGTCTGGAGAGGTCTTTGCTGCCATGTAGAAGCTTCTAGACTGGAAAGGGGAGGGCTGGGTACCTAACCCAACCCTATGGGATGGGTAGGGTTCAGCCTCTGGAGGACAGGGAGAAGAATCTGATGGGGAAGTGAAACTTGAGTTTGGATCCCTCTCTGGCCTTTGGTAGGGTCTGAGTTTAGAGAGCTGGCACAAAGGGACCCACAGTGCGTGAGTCAGGCCGTGACTTTGACGCCATGTAGGGGCTCCCCAGCTCTGGCCTACTCCATCTTTTCCGTCTTCAGGATACCGGTCAGATACAAGGTAGGCTGCTTGAGTTATAACCCTGGCTCTGCCTCCTACTCGCTGTGTGATACTGAGTTATTGGACTCTTCTGGGCCTCTGTTTCCTCATCTATAAAATGGGAATAATACCGATCCCCCTTGAGGAGTCAGATAAAATGTTAATAGAGAAGAATCCTCAGATAGTACATAACAGCCAACATTTACTGAGTGCTGTTAACACTAGAATTTCTCCTCCTCCTGCCCAAACCTAATACTTACCAAATGTTTTTGGTTTTTTGTTTTTCTTCCCCATGTGAGGACAAGTTTATAGCCCAAGATGAGGAGGGGCTGGGGGAAACGGCTACCTCCGGCTTCTCCAGCAGAGCAGAGCACTCAGGCAGGAAGACCCAGACACTTGCTGTGGAAGTAAGTTAGGCAACTCCCCTCCGCTGGGCCTGTTTTCCCATCTGTGACTGGATGACCTGACCCATCCAACTTCCTGGCTTCTGCAGGGGGCCTCTGGGACGTGCTCTTCAGGGTTCGTGGGGAAGAAGTGAGGGTTCCTAGCGTGGCGGTTGGTTGGAGGTGCCAGGCTGACTTGCTTGGAGGATCCGGCTCCACCCAGCGCCAGCTCTTCCTCCCCCCGCTGCCTTCACCCCACCGGCTCATCATGGGCATTTTGAACAGCACGGGAGGCTGGTTCTGTGAATGGGGACCACACTCTGTTCAAACCAAACGTGATTCTATAGATATCAACTGAAGGTAGACAGCCTGCGTCATTGCCTATCAAGTTTAAGGGCTGTCTTCTCCTCCATATTATGGTTGAGCTATAGATCTGATCTCCTTTTGATGGAAACCAACTCTATGGTTAAGGATAGCAAGCACTGAATACAATTATGGAACCATGTAATTCTGTGTCTATCATTTTCTTGGAAGAAATTCTTAGCTACAGCTGTGGGGTTGAAAGCGATGCCCCTTCTGACTCTTGGGTTCTAGAATGTGCAGGTGCCTGCTGCCCCACAGCCCTGGCCCCACAGATCAGTATCGCTCTGAATCTTTGCCTATCTGAGCATCAGGAGGTAAACAGCATCACCGATTTCACATGGACCTCTTTGCTTAGACACCAAGCAGCTTTAGAGCCGCTTACGTCTTGTAAGTTGCCTCTTCCTGTCTTTCATCTCCTCTCCCAATTAGTTTCCTTGTCTGTGAAGCTTTTCACAGTTTTGAAGGATGAGGGTGATACCCTCATCCTTCGTTTCCCATGGAGTTGGCCACTGGTTTTTCTTCCTGCAGTTCTTCTGTCTTGCTGTTTGAAAGGACCATGTAACAATGAGTATCTTCCCCTTCATACCTTTATCTTTGAACATGGCAAAGACCTTCCCTACCCTATACAGTCATAAAAGTGTCCGTTTACTTTTTTGTGATACTGCTATGTCAATGCAGGCATTTCTCTTCCCAGTCATGTGTACACATAGGCACGTGACTTTGACAGGTAACTTCGGCAGTTGACAAAAAGACTTTCGTCAACACTTCAGTGTCAAAGGGTTCTGTTTACAGAAATAAGCAAACAACGAAGATCATTGTAGTGCTAAGTTCCCTGTGCTTTCCCTGGAAGGAGGCAATCTAAGCTTGGACTCTCCTGGATATCAAAACTTAGTCCCAGTTTGCCCAACTTAAAACGTCTTCCCTCCACTAAAATCATCTCCTAGCATGAGAGGGCACCTCAGCCTTGAGAACAGTTGAGTCAGACCTGATGGGGATGATAAGAACCCACTTTTGCTGACCTGCGGCAGGAAGCAGAGCTGTTCGGGGGATATCAGGTTTTCTCTCTTCCTGCCTTCTGGGGAGAGGACCAGGGGCTGTGGCTGCGGCGGCCGCTAGGTAGGACTCCAGGGAATCCCCTCCCTCCCCATCTCTCCCCGGGTTCCCTCATACTTACACTGAGATCGTGGTGCTTTGCCTTACATAAAAAGGGGAATACTCGACAGCCTGTTTCTTCCACTTATGGAAAATTCAACTCTGTAAAATGTGACTCTGTGCCCAGACATTTCAGTAAATGTGTTTTATATAAAAGTACTACTCTGTTCCAGCAGTAGGAAGATCAGATACTCAGATCAACTTTCTTAAGTAAACAACGAAAATGTCACGTTATTTGTGTGTGTGAATGTGTTTGAAAAACATGTTTAAGTCATGACTGAGCTAATACTAAAAAAACAAACAAACAAAAAAAACCAGCATATGCAGAGGCCAAAAATAAAGTAAAAGCAAAAACTCTGGGAAGTGAAACCAGCTTCTATTCTGGGGATTTCTGCAGAAATCTGGAGGTCTTGACATTCTGCTCTGATGAGTACTGGGGACTGCAGACCAAGCTCAGAGCCCGCCACAGGTGGGGGAGTCCAGCCACTACCAAGTGCCTAAGGTGCTGATCAGTTACCAAGCTTGGACCCCAGCCCCTCGATTACATCAGAGGAGAGGCTGGTGCTTCTCCAACATGAATGCAATGTGGTGAGCCCTGCTGCTAGCTAGCCACGTCAGACAGCTACCACAGCACGCTTCGGACCCAAGATTCATGATCCTATCAGAGGAAGGAGCTGTGCAATCCCCCCACCACCACCCCGAACACAAACATGGAGCTGCCAGATTAGGGCTGGAAGCAAAGTTCTATTCTGCCAAATCGTACCGTTACTATGTCCCTTCCCTTGAGGACAACAAGGGAGCAGCTGTGCTTCCCAATCATGCAGCTTAAAGGCACCTCAGCCCGATGGAGGGGTTCCCTCCCCAAGAGTGGGCAATGCCCGAGGATGCAGGACCCCCATCCCCGGTGAATGATGTTTCAGCAACCTGCCGGAGGCTGTTTGGCCATTTGCCTTGTTAGCAAAATAATGAAGAAACTACAGCCACATGCACTGATACAGGTAAGTCTTAAGGCCAATGTTGATTTATGATAAAAAAAACTCTCCAAAAAGTAGGCATAGAGGAAACATACCTCAACATAACAAAGTCCACATACGACAAAATAATCTGAAAAAAATACATATGTATGTATATGTGTAACTGAACTGCTTTGCTGTACACCTGAAACTAACAGTGTAAATCGACTACACTTTAATAAAAAATAAGATTTTTTTTAAAAGAACAACATTGAGAAATGAAGTCAAAGAAAGCAAGTTGAATGATTTCATTTATACAAAGTTCAAAAATAAGCAAAAAAGAAGAGGAAGTACAGCAGCAGCGAAGGAAAGGAAGATGAATATATAAAAATAGCAAAATTATAAAAGCAAAGGAGTGACCAGCCCCTATTTCACGGTAGCAATTCCCTCTGCAGGGGAACAGAGGGATGCATTCATGGAAGAACACACAGAGGACCCTAGTGCTGTCTTTCTTAAGCTAGGTGGTGGATGCCAGGGTGTCGACTATTCTTTAAACCGAAGAGGTATGTTTTAGACACTTTGGAGTGAATGTTTCACAATAAAAACCACTTAAAATGTTGGCTCAAGATCTATTCCAAATTTTGAAAATCTGCAGGTGAGATCTTAGACTTCATGCTGCTGGTGGAGACCCGCCACCTCCACACCTGCCTTAACCCAGTTCGCTGGGCATTTCTCCAACATTCCTGCCCTGGCCTTTCAGTCTGCGCCCCACTCCTGACTTTTCCTTGACCCTGCTACCTCCTCCCCCTACTCGCCTCAGCAAGGCGGTGGGGCTGCCAGACCCTCTCCTTAGGACAGCCACTCCTCCTCTGTTCCTTACCCTGGGTCTACCTAGTGAATTTTTACTTCTCCAAAACGTGCCAATGTCACCTCTCCCCAGACTTACCTGACTTTCAAAATAACGATGCCCCATCCTGAGTTGGCACCTTTATCAGAACTCGACAGCCCCGCGGCCGTATCACCTGTGTGCTCCCACCTCCCTGTCTAATGCTGCTCCACCTTGTGTCATCAGAGCCTGAAGTCATGTTAAATTTCTGAATGAAGGCCATGTCGGGCCAGACCTTTCTCACACGGATGTCGAGCGTCAAGGGTCCCCGGGACCCCTGGCAGTGTCACCGGATGCCAGTGCAGACAGAAGCAGGGCAAACAGC